AGTGTCTTGATAATCCCACTGGGCATGTGCGTGGGTATACTCAAAATCCTGACAGAAGAACAGAAAAGGGATTGTGGTGGGGTTATCCCCCTCGGGGGGCAATTTCTCCCTTTTCCTTTTCAGTGAGAAAAAGTGTCCAATAGTAAACATCTGAAAAAAAAAGAAAAGAAATGAAGGAAAGACTATATATTTATTCTGCCTTTCTTACACAAAATGGGCTTCTGGGAAACCAAACAGTGAAGTGTCTCTTTTTTTTTTGTCTGAGGGCACATATGCTCACCAGAGGTGGGGTAGAGAAAGTACTCGGTGAGATACGGTCACGCTCAACCCCTCTTCCTCCATCCCGTCCCCCACCATGTTCTGGGCACGCACACGCAGTGAGTGTTTCAAGCTGCTGAGCTGGGACTTGCAGGACGACCCGGCTCCCTAACCTGCTGTGCTACAGGACTGCTTGCCTAGTGTTGCTTTATGGAAGTATTCCCTCCACCAAGTGAAGAAGACACAACAGGCGGGAACAGCACTGGTTTGCTGCCTGTGATGAATTAACAGATCGGAGCGCCAGTCACCCTTGGCAGCAAGGACGGCACCTGCTCTAGGTGAAGGACTGCCCGGAAGTGGACCTGCTAAGAACATGGTCTAGAATCTGACCCGGATCCTGACGCCAGTCTACCCATTCACAGGATGTCCTCAGCAAGCTCACCCTGAGAATACCTGGAAAGGGGAAGACGGGAGAGATGGGAGGGGACCCAGAGGAAGCCTATGGGTCAGTCCCAAGTGCAGGCTGCATTTAGATCCTGACTGAAATAAATGAAAACAAAACTCCCCAAAACACTGCATTTATGAGAAAACTAGAAATGTCAACACTTGAGTGGATAACTGAATTAGGAAATCACTATTTTCTTGAATGTTATAGAGGTATTATGGTTATGTGTTTTAAAAATAAATCTCATTTTGGGGGATATATATGGCAACATTTACAGACAAAATAATATGCAGTATGTGTTGGGGAGAAGAAGAGGTGAAACAGATCACAACTATGAACTGTGAATAGTCATAAACATGGGAGTCCTTCACCTGATCCAACTTTTGTGTTTGTTCTTTAAGAAAGATTTTTGCTATAGGGCCTGTGCATTCGTCAGAGACACAGAGAGAGCTATAGAGAGAGAAATCACCCCCAGAGGAGATGGCCACACCACAATCCCTTTTCTTCTGTTCTCCTAGGATTTTAGGCATGCATGAACAGGTACCCGGCTCGAGTTTCAAGCCACCAGGTCCGAGACTTGAATTGCAGACAGCCATGTGCGAGTCCCAGTGCCTTTAACCACTATGCCACCTGCTGGCCCCAAGCCTCTTTTTTTTTTTTTTTTTAAGAGGTTTTTGCTATAGGGCATGTGCACTCGCCGGAAAGACAGAGAGACAGAGAGACAGAAAACGAGAAATCATCCTACAGGGGGGATGACCACGCCGCAATTCCTTTTCTTCCATTCTCCTCTCAGGATCTTGAGTACGCACGCACATGCGCCCAGCATGAGTTTAAGCTACCAGGTCTGGGTCTTGAACCGCGGTCGACTACATGGGAGTTCAGCAACATAGCCATTACGCTAACTGCAGGTCCCAAACCTTTGTGTTTTTAAAATATTCTATTGTGGGCCAGGAAGTGGCATGGTGGTGAGGGTTCTGGACTCCCATGTGGCCAACCACGGTTCAAGTCCTGGACCTGAGGCTTGTTTTCTCACTTTCCCTCTCTGTCTCTCTTTGGTGAGCACACACACTCTATAGCAAATTAAAAATAAATAAATAAATAATAATTCCTGGGGACCAGCAGTTGGTGTAATGGTTATTTCGCTGGACTCCCATGTAGCCGACCGTGGCTCGAGTACCAGAGTCGGTGGCTTAAACTCAGGCCAGGCACATGTGCATGCATGCCCAAGATCCCGAGAGGAGAATAGAGGAGAAGGGATTGTGACGTGGCCATCCCCCCTGGGGGGTAATTTCTCGCTTTCTGTCTCTCTGTCTCTCTATCTTTCTGGTGAGCGCACGCGCCCTATAGCAAAAAGTTCTCAAAAAAAAATTCTATTGTAAACATTTTTTAGGATATCAGTACAGTACAGTATTTCATTTTGAAACATCCTTTCCCTTTTCCCAGGAATACAAAGACTTTCACATATCAAAAGACTGACTGTTTCTATCTGCACTTACTCATCAGGACATCTAAATTCTCCTCGGATGAATGAATTTTGTGACTAGTGAAAGACTAGCAGTATCATTCATTCTCTAAGTTAGGCACTAAGGGCCAGATATGATATTTACTAATCTAACACACTACGCTGTATTTTAAATTGTAACCCTAAGCTGAAACATAGTAAGATAGAGTCTAAATGAACCCCTAACGTATCCTATCTGTGAAAGAAAATACCCTATGTTTTATAACAGGCACCACCGAGACACAGAACATGAATCCTGAGCCGAGGCCCTCCTTCCATCTCTTCCCCATGTCACTGTTCACCCAAATGAAAAAAGTAGCAATGGTTTCAGCATGCGGGGCTGGGGAAAGTTTTAAAACCAACGATTCCTACACAATTTATTTCCACTTTCAGAATATTTGTACTACATAATATTTTTAAATTTTAAATGAGATTTGGCTTTAAATACAGTTGTCTGTCTTGAAATGCCGTGTGTGGGCTGAGCTGCGGTTGCTCATCTGGTCACAGCGAGGGTGGTGTGGTGGGCCAGGGAGAAAGGCAGAGACTGGGGGGGGCCAGCAGCTGCAATCCGCCCAGCCCC